TCTCCTGGGTAGCAGGTGTAAACATCCTTAGGACAGACTATGTCCTATTGTCTTTTAGCTAGTCTGGTACAGCCCTTTTCATTTTTCACACACTGGGCTTTTCCTATGACTAGAACAGGTGCCCAATTAAACATGTCCCTTTTGTGTTTGATCAAATCATTCTTATTCCAATGTAAGTAACCAGGCTTGCCTGTAAGTATATCTTGAAGTCTTGACCTAGGTTGAGAAGATTATGGCTGGCATTTACTAAAGCCAGCATTTTGAGAGACAGCTTTCCCACACGAAGGGCTTCTCCTATGGTCAGCTCCCATATTATTCCTCCTCACCCCCAATGCCCATTATGACCTTATCTCCTTGTCCCTCTACGAGATCTCCTTTCCAGACCCCTTTTGCGAAGAAGTCCGTGGATGACCAGTGTTTAAGATAAGACCAATAGGTTTCCTCATAATAGTTCTTTTGTCCTCTGGCTACTCATCCATAGGCTGTCACTCATCCATAGTGGAGATCCTACAGATTTTGGTGTGTTTATCAGGTCCCTTCACATGTTCCAGCAGATCATACATGGGGTGGGCCAATTCATAGCCCTGGTTCTGGGCCTGAGTGGTTGTTGGGTTGGTCAGTCTGCCAGCTCTCTCTCATACTCAACACTGGGTGAGCTCTCCAGTGCTTCCCCTGATAGCTTACCTTATGCAGCAAGCAGCAAGGGGAGGGGGTGGTTCTCCTGCTCTCATGCCCTCAGGAAGGCTCACCCATACCTACAGCACTAGGGCCAGCTCTACTGTGTTGCCCAAGTGAGGTGCAGGGGACACTCTCCCCAGTGCTGCAGCTGGGAGAGGCAGGGACAACCCTCCAGCTCCCATAACCCTAGGGCCAGCTCCTCCACCTGTCCCAGGTGTCATGGGGGGCATCTCTCCTCTACCCATGTCACCACATGTCAGATGACAGCCCACACCATGCTCACAATATCGGGGCTGGGCTACCCACACCTCTGACAACAAGGTCAGTTTTTCTATGCTACCTAGGCAAGGAGCAGGGCCCGCTTCCCTGAGCAGCTGCAGCTGATAAGGGGAAGGGTCAGCTCCCTTGTCTTTGCAGGCAGTAAGGGGACATCTCTCCCTCACCCAGACCTCTGCATGACAGATGAGTAGTGGGGATAGCTTTGACATACTTATAGCTTCAGGACTGGCTCATCCACACCTCCACCAACAGGGATGGTTCTATTGTACTGCCCAGATGAGGTGCGGGGCCTGCTTTCCCTAATATTGCAGCTGGTGGGAGGCAGGGACAAGTCTCCAGCTCCTGTGGGCCAGGCCTCCCATCCACACCAGGCATTGCTGAGGTGGGGGTCAACTCTCCCCAGTCCATGCTGCCCCAAGACAAATGAGTAATGAGGACAGTTTTCCTATGCTCACCACATTGTAGGAGCTGGCTCACCCACACCTCAGCCAACAGGGTTAGCTCTATTGTGTTGCCCAGGTAAGTTGCAGGGCATGTTGTTCTCCTGAGTGTTGCAGCCCGGAGGGGGGGCAAGGGAGAGAGACAGCTCTACCTGCCTCAGGCATTGGTGGGTGGGAGGGAAGAGGGACATCTTTCCCCTACCCATGCCACCACAAGATGGATGAGAAATGGGGAGACCTCCCCCATGTTGAGTCTGTCCCCTTTTGTAGGTTTCGTCTCCCGTGAGTAAAATGTTCATATCTCAATTGGGGAGTGGTTCGTCCTTTCAGTCTGGCCATGAGGAGAAAGTTTCTTTAATAATTTCTCTGAAATCATAGAGGGACTTTCCCTCCTTTTCAGGCAAGTATGTGGCTGGATAATATACGTACGTGTGTCATGTTGTTTAATGAAGAAAAGATCTGTCTTTTCCCTTTGTGGACATACTGGAACCCATTCATCCCTGGAATGCAGCCTACTGGAGTCTGGTGAGCATTCCCATGAAGTTGTTGAGTCTGACAGCTGGCTGGCAGAACAAGTTGGTGTGCATTGTGACAGGCAGATGCCAATGAAAGGTAGTCTTGCAACTGCCTCAGCAATGTGAGGTTGTACTCTGCTCTTGGGATGGACCATCCTTGGTAAATCTGACTGTCCTACCACAATGGGCTCTGAGAGCTAAGCGTGGTTGCATACTTAGAATAGGACGTGGGGTTGGTCTAGGAGATAGGCCAGGCCATAGAGGGGGAACAGGAGTGGGAAATAAGGGCCACATTATTGGTTAGGTCTTTAGTAGTTTGAATGTTCTAAACTCCACTCTAGTCTCTTTGATCATTATTAATGTACATGAAAAAGACAAACCATTATATAACACATGTTTTGTTGGTTGATTTAAATGTGGATTCTCCAGCTGAGCTCCTGTTCTGAAACTCAGCTAATTGTCTCACTAGCCAGACTAAATAGTTGATGCTATAACTCCTCTTCCTCCTTTACTGTGTGCCATGCATTTTTGCATGAGCTCAGTGGCTTTGTGATTTTGAAAATGGCTTGTTTAAAAGCCCATCTTTTAAAATTAATTTTTATTTAAATTAAAAACAATTTTATTTGACACACCAACCCCAGTTCCCTCTCCCTCCTGCCCTTCCATTCCCCCCACCATCTCCCCATCCCATCCCCCATCCACTCTTCAAAGAGGGTGAGGCCTCCCCTGAAGGATCATTAAAATCTGTCACATCATTTGGGGCAGGACTGAGCCCCCCAGCCCTGTATCTGAGCTGCAATAGTATCCCTCCATAGGGAATGGGCTCCCAAAGTCCATTTGTGCACTAGGGATAAAGACTGGTTCCACTGCCAGAGGCCCCATAGAGTTCCCTGGCCTCCTAACTATCACCCATGTTCAGGGGGCCAGGTTCAGTCCTATGCTGGTTCCCCAGCTGTCAGACTGGGGTCCTTGAGCTCCCACTTGCTCAGGCCACCTGTTTCTGTGGGTTTCTCCAGCCTGGTCTTGACCCCTTTGCTCATCACTCCTCCCTCTCTATAACTGGATTCCAGGAGTTCAGCTCAGTGCTTAGCTGTGAGTGTCTGCTTCTGCTTCCATCAGCTACTGGATGAAGGCTCTAGAATGGCATTTAAGGTAGATTATGGGAGAAGGGCATTTAAGGTAGATTCTCCACTATTGTTTAGATTCTTAGTGGGGGTCATCCTTGTGGATTCCTGGAAATTTCCCTAGTGCCAAGTTTCTTGTTAAGCACATAATGGCTCCCTCTATTAAGATATATCTTCCCTTGCTGTCCTTCTCGGTTGTTCCCCCAACTGAACCTTCAGGATCCCTCATGTTCTCTCCCTCCCCTTCTCTCCTCTTCTTTCTCCTACTTCCCTCTCCCTCGCCCCATGCTCCCAATTTACTCAGGAGATCTTGTTCCTTTTCCCTTCTCAAGGAGTCCATGTATGTAACTCTTAGATTCCTCCTTATTTCCTAGCTAGAAGCCTATCTTTGTGTAAGATTTAGACGAAGTCTTCAAGCTGGCTGGTTTATAACTAACATGTGCCACATCCCTTCTCCGGGCCCACCAAGGCCCACTTGGAGGCCATCAGTTTGGTCAACCACATCAGTATGGAGATTATTTCTTCTATGTAAGGTAACCTTTTAAAATATTTTGTTTTACTGACAATCTTCAGTCTGAGTTGTCAATATTTTATTTCCCTTCCTCCTTCATTCCCTAGACAGAAATGAACTACAGAACATGTTTTATTGAATTTATTTGCTTTGCATTAATCAAAAAACAAGAAAGCTAAAAGAAACAAGTAAACTTATCAGAATACATTTCTAGACACTGAAAAAACTTATGCTTATAATTAAGAACTGAGATTTGTTAGTAATGGGAGAGATACCATTAATGGGGATTTCTCATAGTGAGAACAATGTAATGAAGGCATAGGCAAAAATGGGGAAGGGAATTGTTAGAGCAATATACTGGAATTGCCTATGTTAAGGGCATTGGTTTAAACAAACTATTCACTATGGGAATATAAATGGAATGAAATCCAGCCAATCAAAAACTTAACACTATCAAAAGGGCAAAACTAAAGGATAAAAATAAGGAGATGTTTTATAGATTGAATGAAAAATCCATCATTTGTTGTACAGCATGTCATTATACTATCATCAGCAAAACCCAGCACCAGTTATTTAAGTTAGCTATAGAATCTCATTGCCTCAATAGACTTTGTTTTAATGGGGAAGCATCCAACATAGATGTTCAGGGCTGCGTGTCTGTTTAAGCAAAGCAAGCACAATGTGACAGAAGCAGATGTCCTTTGGATCTAGGAAAAGGAGCTAGGTTTAAAATTGTTAAGGCATCTAAATGTGTCTTTTATATAATGTTTGCTGGGCTTAAGAGATAAATGTGGAGAATTTGAAAATGGAAAGGTTAATTGAGGTGGGAAAAACCTGCCTGCCATAGGTGACACCATTCCCTAGGCTTCCTCAAGTTCCTGCTACCAGGAATTCCCTGCTATGATGAACTGTATACTCAAACTCTAAGCCAAAATAAGCCCTTTATCCATTAGGTTGATCTTATCGGAGAATTACTGAGTTATACAGAGTGTTTTGCCTTAAGCCTGGAGCCAGAGAGGAAGAACACTCTCCATAGGACCCAGACACAGTCTAACTAGTGAACTTGTCATATTCTTGGTTGAGAGCACATCCATTCCTTGGGCTAAGTCACCTGAATCTTTCCATTAAAATTATTCAGTTGAAAGAAATGGCAATCTTTAAGTTGCTGAAGTAAAATATGATTGTTTTCTTTCTTCTAAGGCACAATGTCTAAAGTTAATGATTTTGCAATTCTATAGCATAACTTTTCTGGAGAACATGCTGGGATATTGGTAGTGACATACTGAGGGTTAGATATTAGTAGCATTTATTTCACTCAATAATTAGAAATGTTAATACCTATTTCTAAAGTTATTTTCCTTAATAAAACTACTCCTAGTAAAAATGTTATATGGAATTACCACAGCTACTGGCAATTGTCACTGAAAATGCTGATGCTTTAACCAGGAGCTGTTTATTGCATGTTTTCTGTCATTTGGCTCCATGCTTGGGCCTTCTTCTTGGCCATTGAGAACCACACAGGCTCCTCAGGTGGTGAAAATTTGGGTGGCAGACTTGAAGAGCGTCTGGTTTCTCTCTCCTTCCCTTGCGGGTGAAGCATGTTCTGATCATCAAATCCAACTGGAATCACAGCAAACAACACACAGTCAGAAATCCCAGAGACACTGGAATATGTTTAAAGACACAATGCAATCTGGGCATCCTTTCAGGTTTTCTCCTGTCACCTAGTTCTTAGTACTTTCTGACCACTGCTCTCTTAGAAGTCAGATTTATAAATATCAGAGCTTGAGCAAACAGCACAGTAGGTACGTATTCCTGGGGGCAGCATCAACTTGGAAATGGCTATAGGATCATAGCCATGAAAAGGGATGTGAGGTGATTCTTGCAGTTTAGCAGTCAATCTTTTGACTTTTGTTATTTGACCATCTTGTACTTTTAAACTCACACCCAAAGGGAAACATATTATACCTATTCCTTCTTTTTTAAATTCTGGATCTGTTTTCACCAGTCACTGACATTGTGAAATTAAATGACTGATGAGTCAATAGATCTATCTAATAAAAGTCAGAGAAATAATACTCCGCCAACTACTGTGGCCAAACAGACTACTCCCTGTTTCACAAATCCACTCCCTCCATCATCCTACTCTATTGCTGAATAATTCAATGGCTTCGACTAAACCAGTGGTCCTCAATTCTAACTACACATTGGGATCATCTAGGAACATTTTTTAAATAACACTGTATCGTGGTGTGATGGTATATGCCTATCGTCCTAGCAGTTGGGAGGCTGTGGCAGGAGGGCCAGGAGTTTGACGCTATAGCTTGGGTTATATTGCTGAAATCAAATGATAACTACAACCAAAAACAAAGAAACATAAAAACTGGCAGTGCCCATTCAATTTCTTGAACCAACTGAATCAGTAGGGATGGAGTCAAGCTCATCTATCATTTAACAAGCTTCCTGGTGGATCTGTTCTTCAGGGGAGCTGAGAACCACATTTCAGGAATACACTGCTCATAAGACATGGAGCAAGATGACTGTTATTTCCACAGCCAAATAATGGGTTCTTGAGTCCAATGTAAATCCATCCTCCTCTCCGTTGCAGTGAGAGTCCAGGATGATGGGCTGCTAGAGGCCAGAGGTCTTGAACCAGACCAATGACTCATTGCAATGAAATTTGTGGATGGGGCTGAGTGGACAAAAGGGTATACTGTGTGACACACCACAGCTCCCAGTGCCACTAGGATGAATGAAGAGGTGTTGGAGAGGTGGAAATGATGGAAGATTAAGGTAGACTCTTTAGTTTAGTTTTGTTTTTAATTAATTTGGGGGGATGTTCTTTTGGGGAGATGCTACAGAGGTGAAGGGCAGATATGAAGGGACTGGAAGGTAAGCAGGATTGGGGTGCATGATGTGAAATTCCAAAAAAGTCAATAAAGAATTACGTTACTTTAAAAAAAATCTTCCTCTCCTTCAGTTCCTGCTGAGGAAATGCCTCTGGCATATAACTCTCACTGATCAGGTCACACTGTATCATTTCCTGTCACATTTATTTACAGCTTTCAACTTAGCCCCCATGTCTCACCCCCTAGTCAGAATATAGAGTGTGTGAAGCAAGCCTTTTCAATAGTTATGAATCAATACTACCAAGCCTTTACAGTGGATTATTGTCAACAGTTCCATTGAAGTTAGAAGAGGTGAGGAAACATTGTGTTGCTATTAGCTAGAAAATGGCTTGGTACTTCCCTCTCTTACCTAGCCACAAGAACATTTTGTGCCTTGCCTTGAAAGTTTCTTTAGTGAAGTGAGAGACTAGAAAGGGCTATGGAAATTGCACACCAGACTCGAATATAACAATTGGATTCTCTTAAAGTAAGCTAATATCTGTTGCATTTCATGGAAGACACATGAAAGGATCATGAAGCTGATTTGATCAATAAGAGAAACACATTGACTGAACCTGAGAATGCAAAACGTTCCACCACATTCCTCCCTGGCTATTTTGGACAGGTCAGAATGAGTGCTTTCACCTGATTTTATAGACTTGGACAGCTTTGGCATCTCCTGTCTGGTAACACTTGAAGAAGAGGTCATTCTTGACGGGACGTCAGTTGTGGGTTCCTCTTCCTGTAATACCAAAATGAAAACAAAACCTTTCTAAGTCCCGACTATAAAGACAGCAAACTACTTAGAAGACTGCATGGTACAAGCCCTGTCCTGGGTACTATGAGTTCAACAACACTCAGAAGAAAAGAGATAGAGAATACAGATATTCATGCAAAAGTATACATCTAGATAGAAATATATAACTATAGAAATTGATTATACAGATCAATAACAAAAGATAGCACAAAGCTCCTTGGGCCTGGAATACATACATGAATGTTTAATGATTTCTTTGGAAAATACATTATTTAATGATGTAGTTCTTTTGATTTGGTGTTCAAGTGTTTTGCTGCATACATGTGTGTGCACCACAGGCACTGCCCCTGAGGCCAGAAGAGAGTATTGCATCCCTGAAACTCGAGTTATGGATAGTCATGACCCACTATGGGGGTGCTGGGAACTGAACCCATGTCCTCTGCAAGAGCATTACATACTCATAACCACTGAGTAATCTCTCCAGTCCCAGTACTTAGATTATTAACAAAACCCAAACTGGCTCAAATTTGGCAACTTTCTTACAGATCAGGAAGAAAAGCTATCTAGTTATACAAATAATGTAAATAGACTGATGTCAGAATACATTCCCTCAATAAATTGAGCAGGAACTTGAAAGTATGAGATCTCAGATACGGCTTTTGATATGTAAATGTAATATGCTTTTGGGGTGTTCATTTTCTGCAGATTTTCTGAGATGAAGTCAAGGAATCCTTCCATCATCCCTGCTCCTCATATCTAGTCCATCCTGGAACATTTTAAAAACTCCAGGCAGGTGTGAAAGCTAACCCAATAGGTATATAGGAATGCAAACATCAACACCTAAGCATACATATCTAGGGAGGGATATGCAAAGAATAATGAAATATATAAATATAAATAAAGAATAATGAATAACGTGCATAATGAAACATCAGAGAAAAAGAGCTACCCTCTTCCTAAGGTTTAATTTCTCAGTTTTAATTACACATAGTTAATCACAGTCCAAAAATAGTCAATGAAATTTTTCATAAATAAGCAGCTGATAAACTTTACACTGAATGCCATTTCTGGCAACACAGAATCCTCGTCCCTTCCTATCCCCACCTGGCTGGCTGTGAATTTTCCCTTAGTTCATCATCCCACACTATATGTTCATGTTTCCTGCCTTTTACTTAGCTGTCTTAAGTGTCCGATGCCCTGGGATGGTATCATCATAGCGCCTGTGTTCAGGTCACTCTTACTTTAGCATAGCAATAGCCCCAAAGTGGTAGAGTAATGATGCTGACCGTCCAGATACAAGAAAGAGAAGCTCTAAAGTGCCTCCATGACACGAATAAGCAAAACTCCTGGACTTGACTAAGAAAAGTTAGAAACATCATAGGTTGAGGTTGCTAAATTCTATAGTAAAAAAACAAATCTAATTTTGAGGAATGCTAGCTTTCAGCTCCGATTTTAAAAGTTAACAGTCACAACGTATTAAGTAATGAGTTAAAATGATAAGGGCATTCTCTTTACTATATGCAGCTTCAGGCATGCACAGACTCTTGCAATGTAGTATCTGTGGTTAAAGGGGACTAGCATTTTTATGGTTTGTGGTTAAAGGGGAGTACTATGTTCATAGTTTGATTGCCATTTATGAAAATAATATGCCTGTGCTTAAAGGTATAACATATAGTCACTCAGTTTTTGTCCTATTGGTTATCTCTGTTTTCTTATTGTTGCTTGTAGTGATGCGGCTGTTGTTTTATCTACTTCTTTTTATGTAAACTGTATCATGGAATCCTGCTGTAGAATATTTAGGGCAAAGCTTGATTTATAGACTCTCTTCATATCCATTACTTTTCATATAAGCTGTTAGAATATCATGGCTGTCACATTTGTGTTAATACAAAATAAAGACCCTTGAAGAAGAATTGTCCTTGATTAATGTTCCCAATAAGAGACAGTCACTGCGTGTCTGACATAATTCCCAGTGCAAGCTTAGTCAGTGGACCCGCTAACCTTTGGTGGAATTTCTGAGTTTGGATCATATTTTGACTCATATCTTGGTTCCTTCATCTCAGCCTTGATTTCAGTTCTGGTCTTAGTTTTTTTAGGAAACTGGGAAACAAAGCCCTTTTGCCTCTGTTTTGCCACGTTGATCCAAGCTGGCTCTGCAGTGCAATCTGCCTTCCAACTGCCGATCTTTTCTGAAAAAGAAATGAAAGAATTAGAACAGAAGCCGGACAGAAAGGGTCTCCAGTCTAATGGAGGTTGCCCACAATAGTATTCTAACTGGGATCATTTCTGGTTGCCAAACAAAATTAGATACCACTTAGAGAAGGATCATTCTCCTATTTGTCCTCTTCCTACGAACTGGGAAGGCAAGATTAAATAGTTAAATAGTTGTGCATTAAAACGAACATACTGTCCCTTTGTTTCCTTTAGCCATCCCTCTTCTCATCCCCAAGCCAGAGCAGGACAATGGTTAACAGGTAGACTGAGAAACTTCTCAAGATGGCAGAGGCTTAGACCATTGATATAATTCCTCCAACTATAAGAAGAAGTTTACAGAGTCTATTACTTCTTTGTCCCTTGTGCCAGTGTCATGGTGGGATCGGAGGCAGAAACAAGACTAGGCAGGGATGATACGGAGGGCACAACAATTTTTTGGAAAAGAGTAGCACTCAACAGGCCACCTTGATCAGGATTAAATTAAGGTGATTTCAGGGTAAGAATGTAAACATATTGCTCTTAATGAACTGGGTTTTGGAGATCTGTTTGGCAGATTAAAGTGACATGGTGTATGTAAAGTTGTTATTTTTTTTTAGACACTCACAGGATTTTTGCCCAAAGAATGCTATACACAAGGTAGATGGGGAAGGAAGAGGTGGTGAGCACGTGTCTGTTAATGTAAAATGAATGGATGTCCTTACTGCTGCCTCCCTGGGAAAAGGAAGCCTGCAAAAGAGTTCTTTCTGAATCTGTTCATCCAGGGTGGGGCACCATCCCACCTCTAAACCTACAACTGGTTGTGTCAAAGCAACAGTACAGCTGGAAGCCTGGAGGCTAGAGAGTTCACGGCCCATCTGTCCAAGGCTTTGCCTTACAGGCCTTCCCTCCACCTGGAGAGACAAAACTCTCACCTGGAGGCCTGTAAATTGCTGGTTTCTTGAAAGTGCCTTCATATTTAGACCTGTTCCCTTGCTTTTCTGCATAGCTAACTGTTTGGCTGAGCTTCTCTAGGCCTCCACTGATGCCCTGGGGAGCACCTTTGTTCATCGACTCTTTGCTTGCCGGGAGGACTGGCATGAAAGGGTCTGGATTCTCTAGCCCACTCTTCTGTGAGATTCTTCGCAGTCGTACTCCAAAAACATTTTCCACCTCAGCCTTGCTGGTGGATGAAGGACTCTCACCTCCTTCACGACTCTGAGGACCTTCCTCCGTAGAGCAAGCGCCTGGGGAAACAAATGCTTTCTGGGCAGGAACAGTAGTGTGCTTGCTAGGTTTGGTAACAGAAGTTGAGGTGCTTTTAATGAAGTCTTCATAGCCTTGTGGGTATTTCATGGTTTTCTTTGGAGAATCTGGGCATTTGGGCATGGACCAGCTGCCAGTATTCTTCGGAGAAACGATTCCTCCTGCAGCAGCATTAACAGAACTTAAATAAACTTGTTGCTGATAGTCGGTGATCAAGAAAGGCTGACCCGGTGGCTGGTGCTCCTCAGGATGGCTCCACTCCACATTTGCAGACTCTGTTGATAGGGTCTCAGATACATCAAAGGCTTGAGAAGGCTGTGTGAAAGACAGCTGTCCTTCAGACCTCTTCCATTCTTCTGGAAAACTGGCAGAGGCTGACACTTTCTGCCTGTACTCAAGCTTTCCCAGGGACTGAGAGACATCCATTGCAGCACTGCTCCACTTCACAGGGGTGCCTTCAGAATATGACAGACCTTCCTGGGGCTCTTCGGGCCTCCTGGGTGACTGTGAAGACTGCCTCATGAGCAGATTCTTCAAAGTGTCTTCCTTGGGTTCATCATCCCAGTTATATAAGAAAGCTTGCTCCTCAAGTTTTGGCTTCAACAAGGATCTGGAAGGACGGCTTCGAGTCCGAAACGTGGGCTTTGCATAAATGTCAGTTTCGCCAACACTGCTCTCTGAAAAGATTTGCTCAGCCATGAATTTCACAAGTGACTGGGAGGAAGCCCTGCTATCCCAGGCTTTCTTAGTGCTGCCTGGAGTGACAGCACTCTCGGGATGGGAGGACATTTCCTGAACTTTAGATCTCGTTAAGAACTGGATGGGAGCTTTGGCAGGCAGTGGCTTCCAAGGAATACCTCCCTCCATAGAAGTACCCTCAAAACTTGAGGGTGTTTTCTGGACTTGTGGTTTGATAACGGTTTGGGAAGGATTTCTGGAAAGCCATGCCTCTTTAGAAATGCCCCCCTCTTGGGCAACACCTTCTAGACTTGAGGTTTGTTGTTCAAATTCAGGGCCCAACCATTGCTGAGGAGCATATTTGGAAGGCAGTGGTTCGATAGGAATGCCCCATTCTCCAGGAACTCTCATTGAATCTAAGGAAATGTCTTCCTTGAATCCTGTGCTTATTGGGGGCTGGGAATGGTGTCTTACAGACCTCATTATTACAGAAACTCCCTCCTCTGCTCCATAACTCTCTGGATCTACTCTTGGCTGAAAAGGGAATCTAGATGGCATTAGCTCCACAGTGCAGCTCTGTGGCACAGAAATACTGTCTAACTCAGTGGAAACTGGTTGTTGGACTACTGTTCCCATCAAGGGCTGAGAAAGCATTCTGGGAGCTGGTGGCTCAAGAGGAATGCCCCATGCTGGTGTTGCAGCCCTGTCTGGGGATGCAGAGACTTGTTCAAATGGAGAAGGTGGCCATGGCTGCAAAGGGTGTCATGAAAACATTGGCTCCATGCTGATGATCTGTTGTACAGATGTGTTCATGGATCCTGTGGAGACTGGATGTTGGTCTACTGATCCCATCGAGGGCTGAGAAGGCATTCTGGGAGCTGGTGCATAAACAGGAATGGCCCACGAAGCAGGAACATTGCCAGAGGTTACAGACATTTGCTCAAAGGTAGGAGTCAGCCATGGCTGGGGAGGGCATCTGGGAGACCCTGGCTGCGTAGAGATACTCCCTTGGGTCTCAGGGCTGTCTGAACCTGTAAGCACTTCCTTAAATTTAGGACTATTCTGTGTTTGGAAGATCTGTTGACCAGACATGTGCTCCACAGGGCTTCCCCATTGAGTGGAAGTGCTGGGTAGCTCTCGGGTCATCTGTGGCTGGAATTTGGTCTTAACTGAAGGTTGGGAAGGCAGTAACTCCGCCAAAGTGGCACCTTGTACAGAGGTGCTTTCTGAGAATAGTTGACTTTGAGGATTTAGTAATGACTGAGCCGAAAATTGGGTATGCAGTGGGCCCATGGAAATGATCTTAGCAGCAACAGCCTCCGATTCTAAAGGCGCATTTTGATAAGGCTGTTGTATAGACTGGGGAAGGGTAGGAGGCACATGCTCCATAGAAGGGTTCCCTTCGAAAGCTGTGCTCTCTAGAGTTGAAAATGATTGTTTCCATGCCTGGAAAGGGTGTCCCATAAGCCTTGGATCCACACAAACACCTCTTTCAAAGGCAGAAGCCTGATGTTGGATGAAGGGTTTCGATGGGGTCTGAGAATGATGCTGAGGAGGCAGCGGCTCCATAGAAACAGGAGGCAGGGGCTCCAGAAAATGACTTCCCTCAAATGCAGCACTTTCTGCACCCAATGGTATTTCCTTCTTCATGCTTCGTCTCATTGAGGACTGGGAAGGATATCTGCCAGGCTGTGTAGCAGTACACTCTTCAAAAACAGCAATCTCTGGACCTGCACAAGTGTGTTGCTCAAGTACTGGCCTGATTGGAGGTTGAGAATGCTGTCTGAGAAGCATGGCCTCCATAGACACCACCTCTCCCATAGAAATGTCTGAACTTGGGACATTTTGCTCAACACTGTACCCCACTGGGTGCTTCAAAGCCTTTCTAGGAGATGGTGGCTGTATAAAAATGTCCCAGTCAGCAGCAATGCCCTCTGGATCTGCAAACACTTGATGTTCAGACTGAGGGCTCCCCCATGACCTGACGGTGTGGCTGGGAGGCAGTGGCTGCACAGGGCTGCCCTGTGCTACTGAAATGGGGGATTGCTGCTGAGTAATAGGGCTCACAATGAGTGGAGAAGTGTATAGGGAGTGTACTGTCTTGTCAGAAACACTCAATTCTTTTGGAACACTCCTTGAAACTGGGGACACTTCTTGCTGGTCTCTGCACTGACCCTGGGCTTGCTTGGAACGTTCAGGAGGCAGCTCTTCCTCTGAGCTGGTCAGATACTCAGAACTTTGGTACTTATCAAAGTAACTACTTGATTCTGTGGAGACTTCCTTTTCTTCAGACTCCTGGAAGGTCTCAGAATGTCTCCTGGAAGCCAACTGCTCTCCAGAGACAGAATCTATGATAAAACTTCCTGATTCTAGGCATTCTTCATAAACCTCAAAGGACTGGGAGGATTGGGCAGATGTCATCTCCTCACAGCTTTCCTGGCCTTCTGAAGAGCTGTTAGTGTCTAAGGGGAGTTCTCTAGCTTTGGCTAATGACTGCTCCGTCTTGTTCCCTTCTGCATCTACATTTTCTGATTTGAGGAAGACATCGTCATCATCCTGAGGGTTCCATGCATGCTGGAAGGAATGTGCAAGACTTGGCTGCACTTCAGAACTACTCTCATACTCTGAAGTACTCTTTGAATCAGAGGAGATTGTCCCTGCATTTGGCCACCTTCTGAGAGGAAGAGGCGACATGTGCATAGAAGCATCATCTGCGGTAGTAGCACTTGAAACACTTGCTGAGAAGGCCCGAAGACTACCTCTAAGATTCCTCTCTTTGTGGTAAGTTGTTCTCTCCAAGGATAACTCCATTTGGGGTTGTAACTTTTGCGAATCAACTTTGGGTGTTTCTTTCCCTTCTCCACGAACTTGACAAAGAGGCTTATGCTCTTGGGCCTCCACTGTCCTTGAGACAGGGGCCTCTTCTTGACTTGTAGAAGATCCTCTTGTCTGTGACAACAAAGCAGCTTTATCCTTTTTCTTCTTGATTTCAGAAGACCTTTCTTCATGGCTGGGTGGTGGACCACTAACCCTGGACTCTGCCACATCTGTTGGTCGTGGTGCTGGTGTTCTTTGGGCTTCAACATCTCTGTCAGCCATTTTCCCCTTCACATTCCTTTTATCTGAAGGCATCTCCCGAGGAGTAGTACCTTCTGCAGTTGTGATCTGCTCTGTGCCTTGCTTCTCCAGGTAAAGCTTCAAGAATGAGTGCTCCCTACCAGCCAACTCTTCACTAGGTGAGGACTCAGCTTTACTGCCCCAGTCATGCTCTTGAGTGGATTTTACAAGGCTTTTTTCTATGATCCCCCACTCATTTTTGACCCTTCTTCTACGTCTTCTTGGGTGGGATTCTGAGGTTGAATGGCCTGTGCTCGAGGCAGCATCGGTACTTAAAGTCTGATCCCTTGTCTTCTTATCCTGAGTTTCAGTTTTGTTGCTCTGCTCCTGGCTTGGGGGCCCTGTACCAAATGTAAAAAGGAAAGGAGACATGTGTGTGCTTTCGACTTCCTAAAAGACTGCTATTCTTCTTTGTCTATGTTTGCTCCCAAATTCCCTGATACAAAAATGCAGAAGACATTTCCTTGTTCACCATTAGCTTTAAGCTACAGGAAATGTTTCTATCAAAGGGAAATTTCAGTCATATGATCAGATAGTCTTGGGCTGGCTCATTAGCACTTCATCAGTAGTCTGGTTGACCACTACGTGTGAGATTGAAAATGAGGCAAATTGTGCTTTTGTAACAATGATTACATTTGAGAAACCTGACTGGAGCAGAAGCAAGGGGAATTCTCTGTAAATGAGATTTTTATTATTATTCTGTGTATGTGGATATTCTGCCTAACATGTATGTCTGTGCACCACATGTATTCCTGGTGTCTGGAGATGTCAGAAGAGGGCTTCAGATCCCCTGAAACCTGAGTCACAGATGTTCGTGAGCCTCCAAGTGAAGAAATTGAACCCAGGTCCTCTGAAAGGTCAGCGATTGCTCTCCAACCCAGTAGGGAAAATTTTTATTTTCTGATTAGTATTCCTACTTTCTATATAGTACTTATCCAAACTTCTTGAAATTCTATGTTATATAGATTCATGCTTTTATTTCAGAAAAACATCAAAGGAATTATTTGAGAGGTTAGGATTGTGGCCCGCCTTTCTTTCATTTTCCAGCTCCTTGCCTTAAAACAGTCATGTGTAACACACACATAAAGCAGTTCTTTGAAAATACACAAAGCAGAACTCCCAACTCCCCAGCAATTGCATGTGGGCAAGTGCTCCTTTCCGGACTTTTTCCTATGAAGCTCAGTTTGATCTAGGTGGCAAAACCCCAGTGGCCATTCCTTCTGCACAGACATTGGGTCTGTAGCGCCACCTAGTGGTTGTAAATGCAGCATACAGCACAGGGAAGAGCTCCGTGTGCTCTAAGTCAGGCCCTTCCTGTGGAACAGCAACCAAGGTACCCCAGGGGTATTGAATCAGTTCTATCTCCATGTATGAAAAATGATATTTCACTCTTAATCTATGTCCCTTCCTCCCTCTCTCTCATCCTTCTTTGAAAGACTTTTTTAATGTTTTGTTTTTCTGGGGAAAACATGATGAAAGAAGTCCTACCTTTGAAACCACATGTGAAATCATTTGTGGAAAACCCTAACAACCATTCAACTTAAGTGACAGAACCGAAATTTAATTTTGTCAAACAGTGCACAAAATTAGCTTGCCATCTAGCGAAAGGTAAAATCTATCCATGCACACATGCAAACACACAGAGAGTTTTCACTCTGGTGGTATCTGTTTGGAAATTGGTGAGGTGATGGCTGCCAAGGATGTCTGGCTACAGCTGCACAGAGCTCTGGTAGCCATGGATATGTGAAGTCATTGTGAACAGCAAACCTTCTTCTCTAAACTGGAAGAGAAAGGTAGCTCCTATGAGAATAATTTGGGGGACCAGTTCAGTTCTTCCTATCTTTATACATTGTTGGGGAAGAATGAGGACTAGGCCATCACTGGCTGCATCCTGCAGAACTCAGCAAGCATATTCATTTGAAAGAACTGATTACATTTACAAAGAACGCATCTCTCTAGTTGGAAATTCATTTAGATAGGACACAAAAGCATGTGCAATCCTTTCCGCAAAGCCTGTACAAACATAGCTATTGCCAGTTTAGGTGGAGAATTTTAAGCCATACTTGTATGAAACTCTTTTTAGTTAAAAGATTTGTTTTGGTGATTTTTTTTTTAAACGGTTTGTATGGGTGTATACCTCAGAAAAGGGCCTCAGCCTTTTTCACTAGAAAGCTAGGAAGAAAGCAGAATGACAGAAGGGTCACACAAAGTCTCCTACGGTGGAAATCCTGCTTCCCTGGGTAAGGGTGAGATGTCCATGGACCTAATGCATACATAGGTTTTCATTATTTTTAATTATGCATATGGGTATGTACAGGTAGGTGCCCACAAAGATTACAGGTTTCAGATTCCCCTGGGGCTGGAGTTACATGAAATTGTGAGCTGCCTTACTTGAGCGCTGAGAACCGAACTGGGGTCCTCTGAAAGAGCAGTACATGCTTGTAACTGCAGAACACTCGTTCCAGTTCCCTTGTATGCATCCGACATTGAAAACCGCAACAGGAAGCAGGGTAGCGGGGATTTTTGGGTTTAGCATCCCCAGTACACTAGTGTGCATCGAAGCCCGAGAGCCACGGACTGGCAGTGAAGGGTTGCTAACCTGTGCTGTCCTTCTTCTCCTTTACATCTGCTTGCTTTGGCTTAATTGTTGCTTTTTCTTTAGTCTCCGTCACAGCATGCTGCTCTTCCTGCTTTGTTCTGGCCTAAAACAAAGTTGAAAAGAAAAAAAGCTTCATTCTGATGGTCATGCTCCTCAGACCTTACACGAGTGAGCTAGGCAGAAGGCAGAATGCCAGAGGAAAGCCTGCCTCCCTGGGCTGTGGTGAAGTGTTCAGGGGCCTAATGTATGCACAGGTTGTGGCCCTCAGTTCCCCCTGTTTCTGGAGCTGCTCTCACAACTCATATTTCATTGGTGTTTTAAAGCAAAATTGAGATGTCTTTTATAATTTTTATTTTTGAGATTATAATATAAATACAGCATTCTTCCATTCCTTCTCCTCTATCCAAACCCTTCCACATACTCCTCCTTGTTTCCTTTCACGTTCATGGCCTCTTTTTCATGATTATTACGTACCCATATACATGCATATATATTCCTAAATAGTACCTGTTCAGTCTATATATTTTTCAGGGCTGATCATTTGGTATTGATAAATCAATGCTTTTCCCTGGGGAAGACTATTGCTCCTGATCTTAGCATTCCCTAGTTGCCTATAGTTGTTTGTATAGTGCTGAGGCCTCCCAGCCGCTTTGGTATGTATACTATGGCTATGTCATTGTTCAGCTCATGATTAGGCTGTCATGTTAATAAGACTTCATGGGTATAGCTTCTGAAAGATAGAGGCAACTTTGAATGAGTACCTGTATTATTTGTACTTTCATGCTCACCCCTATAAAATATTTGTGCTAGCCAATCTATGGGTTTCTTTCATCTATTTTAGTCCAGAATACCCAAAGAACTAATTGGGTGTTTGAATGGTTACTTCTTCTTCTTCTTCTTCTTCTTCTTCTTCTTCTTCTTCTTCTTCTTCTTCTTCTTCTTCTTCTTCTTCTTCTTCTTCTTCTTCTATTTCTTCTTCTTCTTTTAGCTGACACCTCCTTTTAAGCACCACTATCTTTGATTTCTTAACTGGAACTGGAAATCTCTTACAAAAGCATTAGTTATTTGTTTTCTTTTTAAATGGTTTTTATTCCATTCATTTATTTACCAGAGTTTGAGTTGCACACTCATGTGCAAATGTATGCTCATGTACCACAGACGGAGTGTGGAGACCAAAGGACAACTTACAGAAGGCTGAGCTCTCCTTGTGCCCATCTTTTTATCTGGGTATGGGGGATCAAACTCAGGTCCTCACACATGTGGTATTTTTATTTTATTTATTTATTATTTATTTATTTATTTTTCATCCTAACTGCAGTTTCTCTTCACTCCTATCCTCCAAATCCCTACCACCCCACCTCCCCTTCCCCCCACACCCACTCCTCCTCCATTTCTATTAAAAAAGTGAAGACCTCCCATGGATATTGACCAGTCATGATACATAAAGTCCCAATAAGACGAAGCATCTCCCCAAGTATTAAGGCAGGGCAAGACAACCCAGTATGAGGAGTAGGGTCCCAAGAACCAGCCAAATTGTTAGGACAGTCCTTGTTGCCACAAGATGACCAAGCAACTGTAACATATATGCAGAATGCCTAGGTCAATCCCAGCCAGGGTTCCTACTTGTCAGTTCAGTCTCTGGGACCCCTGATGCAAAAATGCTCAACAAAATACTTGCAAACCAAATCCAAGAACACATCAAAAATTTCATCCACCATGATCAAGTAGCCTTCACTCTAGGGATACAGGGATGGTTCAACATACAAAAATCCATCAATGTAATTCACCATATAAAAAAACTGAAAGGAAAAAACCACATGATCATCTCACTAGATGCTGAAAAGCCTTTGACAAAATTCAACACCCCTTCATGATAAAGGTCTTGAATTGATCATGGATACAAGGAACTCATCTAAACATAACAAAGGCAATATACAGCAAGCCAACAGCCAACATCAAACAAAATGGAAACTCAAAACTATTCCACTCAAATCAGAAATAAGACTGTCCACTCTCTCCATATCTATTCAATATAGTACTTGAAGTTTTAGTTAAAGCAATAAGACAACAAAAGGAGATCAAGGGGATACAAATTGGAAAGGAGGAAGCCAAAGTATCGCTATTTGCAAATGATATAGTAGTCTACATAAGCGATCCAAAAAATTCTACCAGGGAACTCCTACATCTGATAAACATCTCCAGCAAGACAGCTGATTATAAAATTTCCTAAAAACTCAGTAGTTATCTATACAAATGATAAACAGACTGAGAAAGAAACCAGAGAAACAACACCCTTCACAATAACCACATATAATGTATCTTGGTGTAACCCTAACCAAGCAAGTGAATGACAAGAACTGTATGACAAGAACGTCAACTCTTCGAAAAAAGAAATTGGAGAAGATACAAGAAAATGGAAAGATTTCCCATGCTCATGGATCAGTAGGATAGTAAAAATGGCAATCTTGCCAAAGGCAATCTACAGATTCAATGCAATCCCCATCAAAATCCCAGCACAATTCTTCACAGACCTTGAGAGAACAATACTCAATTTCATATGGAAAAACAAAAGACCCAGGGTAGCCAAAACAATCCTGTACAGTAAAGGAATGTCCTGAGGCAACACCACCCCTGCCTTCAAGCTCTACTGTAGAGCTATCACAATAAAAACAATAAAAATTAAAACTTTGTATTGGCATAAAAACAAACGAGAATCAAAAGGATCAAATTGAAGACCCCGACATTAATCCACACACATATGGACACATGATTTTTGACAAAGAAACCAAATTATACAATGGAAAAAGAAAGCATCTTCAACAAATGGTGCTGGTATAGCTTGATGCTGACATGTAGAAGAAATCAAATAGATTCGTATCTGTCACCATGCACAAAACTCCAGTCCAAGTGGATCAAAGACCTCACCATTAATCTAGTTACACTGAACCTGATAGAAGAGAAAATGAGGAGTAGCCTTGAATGCATGTGACTTTTAAGAGAATATTTTAAAAATATTTTTGTTTTATAATTATATGTACATGGTGTGTGTTTGTGTGAGTCTGTGCACCACATGTGTCTGTAGGTACCTAAAAAGTCCAGAAGAGGACATTGGATTACTGGAACTGGGATTACAGGTAATTGTGAGCCATCTGACATGGATGCGGAGAACCAAACCTGGGTCCTTGTAAGATCCATATGAGTTATCAACCATTGAACCATCTCTCCAGACCCTATTGCCATGATTCTAACTTACTAGCATTGCCTATATATAACTCTGCTTGCTAGTAACTCATGCAGAACTCTGTGGCAATGTGTGGAGGTCTTTGGAAGAGCTCAATTCTGAATGATGAGTTGCTGAAAGCCTGGTGTCCAACAAATGAAGGGAGCAGCATAGCAGTTTATAACTCATGGGTCTCATGCGATCAATAAATAAATGGATGTTCATCCAGACTAGGCTTGAATAGCCTCTGCAGAGAGGACTGAGAGTATTTCCAGGCACTAAATCAATAAGTAAGCTGTACAGGGTTAACTCTTGTTTCTGCTTTCCCCACTCCCTTTTATAGAAGTTACAAATAAACAGACCATTTCATGCAACCAACACAAGCTTGCTCACCCACTGCATGCATCTAGGCCTGGACAGTGCCATATATACATGACTATCCCTACAGAAGGATCTGGATCACCCATCAACTGTGTCCAACCATGGCCCTCAGGTAGCACACGGCCACAAGTGGCCAAGAATATCTATGAATGTGGCCCAACACAAAACCACAAACCTAAGATGTGAGATATTTTGGGCATCTTTTTTAAAAAATCAGTTGCATGGTTCTGAAGCATGAACTTTGTAGATAACAATGCCAAGGCACAATGTCCAAAAGTCCGACCTGTCTATACACATACAGTTTCCTAACAGCAGAGAGCACAGGCCAGAGCTCATCTTTTCTCAAAGTTTAATGCAGGATCCTTGGAAAGACTTACAGACAAGGAAATTGCCTTCTTCCTCTTCTGTTTCCGGGGGTTCACAGCTATCTTGTGTTTAGCAGCTGAAGAATCCAAACAGCCTTGTGAGGTGGCTGGCATGCTGAACCCCGAAAGCTGCTGTGTGCTGCTTAGAGAGGACTGTGATAGGTCAAGATCTGAGGACAGTTCTGAAGTGCTCTGCAAAGTGGGAAAAATATGTGAGTGAAGATGCTGACATCTGCCCTTGAAGCGAGAAATGTTTCTTCCTTGCTGAGGACCACCTAAGGAAACCTCTTGTGGATGACTGCCCTCTTTCTTTCCTGTTTTGGTTTAAATGCCAGTTTGGTTCGTTTGTAAAAGAAAGTGAGGAATAGAAAGCAATTGGGGGTGCTCCCTCACCCAGGAAGCAACCAGGAGTGCCCTGGTGCCCTCACAATTAGAACACAAGCACATAATGGAGTCTATAAGGTGAAATGTTTGTATGTTCTCATGTCCCATCTTCCCTTCTTAGTGAGAGAAAGACATCGAATGTACTGTGTAGGTTTATCTTATTGACTGTTAAATAAAATAGTTTGGCCAATGAAACGGCAAATTAGGCAGGACTAGGAGTCAAAGAAGAATCTGGGAAAAGTAGTAGAGAAGTGATAATCCAGACAGGAAACGACATAGCAAGGAGACTCATATTTAAGCGAAGGAGAAACAGGAAGGGTATCTCTTTTCCCCTCCGCTCCTGCTCCAGCATCACAATGTGAGCCACCGACAAGGAGGGATGCCAATAAGGTGTCCGATAAGATAAGTCTTATAAAATATATAGGTTTATGATAGTTAAGACTGAGCAAACAGATGAGAATCCTAGTCATTGGCCAAGCAGCTTTGAACCTAATACAAGTTTCTGTGTATCCATTTGGGCCTAACTCGGGTGGGTGGCTGGCGTAAAGCTCACACGTGGCGGTGGGGCTCAGGTGGCATTTGGCAGAAAGATTTATCGTAACAGAATG